CCTTGAGGGGTACCAAGTTGCATGTCTTTAACTTCACTTTTGTAACCCTGAAACAGTGCAGCAGCCCTTCTGTTGGTTAGGTAACCACTTATCCAGTGTAACAGCCTACCTCCTATATCCATTTTGGCTAGTTCGTACAATATCAGTTGCCTATTGGCAATATCAAATGCAGCTTTTAGGTCAAGAAATGTGGTGTATCTGTGCCTTTCATCACCATGCACAGTTAGGAATGTGGTGATGCAATTATGTACACCTTTACCATGGGTGAAGCCATTTATGTTAGGAGACATGTGTTCTCTGATTCTATATAAGAGTCTGCCAGCTGCCTGTGGGATGGAGGTGAGGGTAGGGTGAGGGGAGAGTGAGGGTAAGGGTAATGGGAGGGTGAGGGGAGAGGTGTCAGGTGTCTTGTTGTGTTGTTGGTCGCCACCTGACTCTCATAACTCGCTCTCGGGATTAAGAACTTTTTTTTTTTACACTTGCTCTTTAAACGCTCACTTTAACTGTTCAACTATTTACATAATATATGAAGGGGGAACTATATAGAAGGAGGAACTCTATACAAGTAGAAGGAGGAACTCTATACAAGTAGAAGGAGGAACTATATAGAAGGAGGAACTGTATAGAATGAGAACTACAGTATATAGAAGGAGGAACTATATTGAGGGAGAATATACCAACTATAGGTTTATCACTTTTGGGACAATAGTGTTATTTTCATTTGATGGTACAAGTGAAAATCATAGAACACGTATTCTTCACCACCAGTAAACATCACCACCACCAGCAAACATCACCACCGCAAGTAAACATCACTACCACAACATTACCATCGCAAGTACAAACTCACCACAGTCACCACCAGTAAACTTTCCCACCATCAGTAAACATCACCACAACCAGTAAACCTCACCACCACCAATAAACACCACCACCAGTAAACATCACCATCACCAGTAAACATCACTACCACCAGTAAACATCATCACCAGTAAACATCACTACAACCAATAAACATCACCACAGTCAATAAACTTCACCACAGCCAATAAACATCACCACAGTCAAAAAATATCACAACCACCATTACTACAGCCAGTGAACATCACCTCCACTAATAAACATCACAACAACAAGTAAACATCACCACCATCAATAAACATCACCACAGCCAGTAAACATTACCACCAGAAGTAAACATCACAACACCGAATAAAAATCATAATCAATTAAACACCACAGCCAGTAAACATCGCCACCAGTAAACATCACCACCAGTAAACATCACCATCAGTATATATCACCACCATTCTGAATATCACCACCAATGAACATCACCATGAGCAAGCATCACCTCTATTACACTACATCACCACCAGTAAACATCACCACCATTACACCATATCACGTCCAGTAAACATCACCACTATTACACTACATCACCACCAGTAAACCGTCACCACTATTACACTACATCACCACCAGTAAACATCACCAGTATTACACTACATCACCACCATTACACTACATCACCACCAGTAAACATCACCACTATTACACTACATCACCACCAGTAAACATCACCACCATTACACTACATCACCACCAGTAAATATCACCACTATTACTGTAATGAGACAAATCTCACATGAAGAAGATTACATATAGGTAGAATATTGATAGTATAAGAGTATAAAAGAGAGGAAGATTTTGGTAGCGCGGCCGTGATAGTTATTTACACTGTCAGTACACTTATCGTATCTTATACGTCAATACACATCTATTACGTCTTAAGGGCGACTTCTCAAACACCGCTTCGTTACAACTCTTCATTAATTACGAACATGACATGGACACATTAATAACACCTTCTATTGACGTTACTAGGACATTATATTTACGTTACTAGGACATCATATTACGTTACTAGACACTGATTCTCGGACACGCACATGAAATGAATACACTTCCCACGTAAGTAACTCATCCCGTGGAAAGCTCTGACAAACACTCACGTGACCTAGGGGAGGCCTAGCAGGTGGTCCTGGGTTGTCTCTATGGGAGACTGCTTAGCTGGGCACCGGAGGGAAGTCTCGGTCCTGACCGGAGGCGACTGGAGGCGACCGGAGGCAGCTTGCCTCCGGCCCTGACTTCTCTCAAGCAGGACTCGGGGCGTGGTAGCTGGTCCTTCTTCCTTACAAGACACACTCTCTCTCTGTCCCTCTCTGGCTCTCTGTCTCCGGGTATCTCTCCCTGAGGGGGGACTAGGACGTCCTATATATTGGGAGGCGAGCCGTCAGGTTGAGCTGGTCGGTGGGGGGGGGGGCGGCGAAGGGTCTCCTTACATATGACCTGGCCAATGTGAGGTCAGGTCTGGACTTTTTCAGATGTAGGTTATTGTGTATTTTGGGAGAGAGTCGGCCGGTGCCTTCTTACATGTTTGACATGGGGGGGGAGCCTGGCTGATTTATAACCCTTGGTCAACCGTGAGAGTTACCCTACACTTGACCTCCCTAATGTCGGGTCATGTCTGGACTGTCTCTGAGATGCAAGCTGCGGTCTGACAACCCATCACTACATTACACTACATCACCACCAGTAAACATCACCACTATTACACTATATCACCACCATTACACTAACATCACCACCAGTAAACATCACCACTATTACACTACATCACCACCAGTAAACATCACCACCATTACACTACATCACCACCAGTAAACATCATCACTATTACACTACATCACCACCAGTAAACATCACCACTATTACACTATATCACCACCATTACACTACATCACCACCAGTAAACATCACCACCATTACACTAAATCACCTCCAATAAACATCACCACTATTACACTATATCACCACCATTACACTACATCACCAACAGTAAACATCACCACCATTACACTAAATCACCTCCAATAAACATCACTATTACACTACATCACCACCAGTAAACATCACCACCATTACACTAAATCACCACCAGTAAACATCACCACTATTACACTACATCACCACCAGTAAACATCACCACCATTACACTACATCACCACCAGTAAACATCACCACTATTACACTAAATCACCACCAGTAAACATCACCACTATTACACTACATCACCACCAGTAAACATCACCACTATTACACTACATCACCACCAGTAAACATCACCACTATCACACTACATCACCACCAGTAAACATCACCACTATTACACTACATCACCACCAGTAAACAACACCACTATTACACTACATCACCACCAGTAAACATCACCACTATCACACTACATCACCACCAGTAAACATCACCACCATTACACTACATCACCACCAGTAAACATCACCACTATCACACTACATCACCACCAGTAAACATCTCCACTATTACACTACAACACCACCAGTAAACATCACCACTATTACACTACATCACCACCAGTAAACATCACCACTATTACACTAAATCACCACCAGTAAACATCACCACTATTACACTACATCACCACCAGTAAACATCACCACTATTACACTACATCACCACCAGTAAACATCACCACTATTACACTACATCACCACCAGTAAACATCACCACTATCACACTACATCACCACCAGTAAACATCTCCACTATTACACTACAACACCACCAGTAAACATCACCACTATTACACTACATCACCACCAGTAAACATCACCACTATTACACTAAATCACCACCAGTAAACATCACCACTATTACACTACATCACCACCAGTAAACATCACCACTATTACACTACATCACCACCAGTAAACATCACCACTATCACACTACATCACCACCAGTAAACATCACCACCATTACACTACATCACCACCAGTAAACATCACCACTATTACACTACATCACCACCAGTAAACATCTCCACTATTACACTACATCACCACCAGTAAACATCTCCACTATTACACTACAACACCACCAGTAAACATCAACACCATTACACAATATTACCACCAGTAAACATCACCACTATTACACTACATCACCACCATTACACTACATCACCACCAGTAAACATCACCACCATTACACTGCATCACCACCAGTAAACATCACCACTATTACACTACATCACCACCAGTAAACATCACCACCATTACACTATATCACCACCAGTAGACATCACCACCATTACACTACATCACCACCAGTAAACATCACCACTATTACACTACATCACCACCAGTAAACATCACCACCAGTAAACATCACCACCATTACACCACATCACCACCAGTAAACATCACCACTATTACACTACATCACCACCAGTAAACATCACCACCATTACACCACATCACCACCAGTAAATATCACCACTATTACACTACATCATCACCAATACACAATATTACCACCAGTAAACATCACCAAAATTACACTACATCACCACCAGTAAACATCACCACCATTACACCACATCACCACCATCACCACTATTACACTACATCACCACCAGTAAACATCACCACTATTACACTACATCACCACCAGTAAACATCACCACTATTACACTACATCACCACCAGTAAACATCACCACTATTACACTACATCACCACCAGTTAACATCACCAATAAATATCACCATTACACTACAATCCCACCAGTAAACACCATCACTAGAAAACATCACCACCAGTAAACATCACCACCATTACACTACATCACCACCATTACACTACATCACCACCAGTAAACATCACCACCATTACACTATATCACCTCCAGTAAACATCACCACTATTACACTACATCACCACCAGTAAACATCACCACTGTTACACTACATCACCACCATTAAACATTACCACCATTATACTACTCACCACCAGAACAAATACCTGTCGACCAAGGCGGAAATCTAGGCTGACAACACCTGCAGATAAGATAAGAACTGATATGGCGGGTTGTGTTGGCCATTTTGATCAGTCGTTCGTGTTACTCCTTACCGTGCTGGTTCACTTACCCATTATTATTGTTTAAATCACAAATTATCTGGAGGATTATATATCGCGTATCAGCATACAAACGGAATATAAGTTCGTGAATATGGTTAGAGAAAAGTGTTTAGATTGTGTTTGTTTTGAAAGAAGTTGAAGTGAGTTGTCATGAAAGAACAGGACAAGGTCTTTGCTGGTGTAACCGATCCGGAGTGTTAAGACGAAAATAACTATATTTTTTTTTTTGTTTTTTTTTCTTCTGGTTCCTCGACGTGTGTGTGTGTGTGTGTGTGTGTGTGTGTGTGTACAATAGATATTCCGATGAAATAATATGGATTACCATCATAAAGTTTATTGAAAAATCATAGCATTGTTGCAAATAGTGTATAATACAAAACATGTAGAGTAATAATTCTTACGTGGTGACAATATGAACAGTATTTTTCTCGGGTTATGGCGTCACCTTAAAGAGCTCATTTCAGGGGTGGGGGGACGAGGGTTCTTAGGTGACATGATTCTGTGTTTAGGAGACTTAATGTGTACAGGAAACGTTATAAGTGTTTTTATGCCACTAAAATCACAAAGTATCAGTCTTTAAGGTAATGTACAAAACTTGACTTAGGTTGGAGTGTTATTTACCATCCGAACCCAAGTGAATTCTCGTACATCGTCTCTTGTAGACACTAAAGTTCCCAAAATTTCTTGCCACCTTTGGATTCCTAAAATAGACTACCCAGGTTACTGTCGCTAATAGTACCATTGAGTACTGTATAGTGTTCGTAATGTGAGATATATCAAGCAATAGAAACTTATAAAACTTAAAGTCGCTTACTAGGAAATACGAAACACGTAATTAAACTCCAAATTATTGAACCATTGTCAGTGCAAAATAAGAGAACAGCTTTGGTACGTCCATAGGCAAATTTAACCTTTGACTTTAGGCTGTGACTTTGACTCGGATAACTATTTTCGTGTTTTGACGTCATTTAGCAGCGTTCCGTGATTGTGGGACGTGGGCGAAATATATTAGTGAACACAAAATTTAGGCCCGGGTGTGGAAAAGTGTATTACCTGTAAATTAGCCACCTCAGTTTATTTCACTTTAAGATTAACCCTACTTGCTTTAACGCTAGCATTTCCTAACCTAACCTAACTTAACCTAACCTACCCATATTAACTCTAACGCTAACATTTCCTAACATAACCTAAACTAACCTGATCTAACTTTACCTAATGACTACCTAACCTGATCTAACCTTACCTAATGATTACCAAACTTAACCTAATCTAATCTAACGCTAACCTAACCTAACATAACCTAACCTGAACTAACCTTACCTAATGACAACTTGACTTAACCTAATCGAATCTAACGGTAACCTAACCTAGCCTATTACCCCATGTAGCGTTAATGTTTAATCATCAGATGAAATAAGATGGGGTGACTAATACTCAGGTGATACGGAAATGTTTACAGACGAGCAGTCAAAAGGAAAGACATTTCATCAAACATCATTTTTTTCCTCGAAAGTTCTTGTGAAACTTCTAAAATTTTAACATCAAAGCAGAAAATGCTGTTATGTACAGTCGGCAAAAGGTTATCAAACAGCTGTGCACGAGAGATTTCAGAATGAGCACTACGTCTTGTCATTTCAGAATGGTTGGTATGCCTGGTTGTGAAGTGACTTTCAATATTTCGTAATAATATATGTTGCTCATCTTTATAATATTTATAGGTGAAAAAAGTATATTAATTTGCAATAAAACTTCCTCGGAGAGCAATGTTCAGATTTCTCGTTCGTTTTGTCATATTGTAAGAAGTTTAGAGCGTTGGAGAAATTTTTGTGGTGAGTGTAAACACGAGTGAAAACAATCATGGATAGTTTCACAAGTATTATTAATGTGTTTGCAATAACTTAGACGTTGTGTTCACAGTGTCAACTAAATGGGATCACCTGAAGATTAGCCTACCCAGCTTATTTCATATGGTGATTAAACACTCTAACGCTAAATGGAGAGGTTACATTAAGTTAAGTTAGGTCAGGTTAGGTTAGTATTAGGGTGTTTAATCACCAGGTGAATTAAGCTGGGGTGCCTAATCTTCAGGTGATCCCTTCAGCCTCGTGTGCCAATTGTCAGTGAAATGTAATATGCTGGTTGGCTTTTATTGACCGGCTTCCGCTGATATTATATCAAACACCGGAATTGGAGTTATTAGTTAATCATTCTGTACCATTATTTCACATTTCAAAAATTGTATTGTGAAAAAAAGAAAAGAAAAGAAGAGAATGTTCTAAAGTGTTGATGAAAATAAATCTTACTGCACAATTCAACTTGAAAATGGGAAACATCAAGCTGAAAGAAGCTGTGTGTTGATGACGCAAGGATACTGTTAGAACAGCACCCATGAAGAAGAGTGGCAATGTAGATTTATGTATTACTTGAAAAATAACCAAAGGAAGAAGAAATATGACACTGAACAACGGGTGAGAACTGTGACATTACTGTGTTTACAAGATGAAACAGATAGCGCGGAAGGTCACGGGAGTGGTGATCCTCTTGCGGTTGTTTCTGCAGCGGAGGTGGAAGTCCATGGGCGTCACCTTTCTGCTGTGGGCGGTGGGCGTCCTGTGTGTTGTTACCCTCTACCTCACCTACACACAACCCGCCGGCATACATGTGCTGTAAGTTAGTTTTCACTCTTGGTTGTCGTGGAGTAACGTGACATTATCGTACATTCAGTATTTATTTATGGTAATTGTTCACTCAATATTTAGTTGCCGTACTCACTTAAAACATTATAGATTCGATTATCATAATACTTTTATCAATTATATCATCCTAATGAAAGGCTAATTTAAAGTTTATGATGAAACCCAAGAATTATTTTCCTCGTCATCTTTTTTCCACACTTTCTCCAGAAATATCAAGTACCAAATTATTAATGCTACTTCATCTTGAAATTTTTAGTCAGATAGGGGAGGGGATAGGAGGATATTGCAGAGACTGACGCTTCATCATCGGTCGTGTTTACAAAGACCATAACTTTACCTCGTGTGATTCAAGGCAATAAAAACTCCTGGAACGAACAACGGGTTTGTCAACACTCTGCTGGGGCGTCCAAACATGGCGGAAATTTATAACTGGAACACGAAGGGGGATGACAGGGGGGCGGTGGAGATAATAAAAAAATGAATCTATAGAGGAGGGTAAAAAGGTGTGAATAAGGAAAAAGAGAGAGAGGCCCTCATAACTTTTAACTGATGAATTATGATGCCTTAATTCGTTCGTTAAACATGCTATTACGACAGTTACTGCTACTTTTAGAACAACATTATTTTTACTATAATTATTACTACAACAGCTATTACAATATTACAAAAAGAACAACAATAACTAATACAACTACTACTTCAATAATTTCTACAAAAGTCAGTACGTATTACAACTACTCGTACTACTAGTACTATTGTTACTAATGCTCATGCTACTTTTACAAAAACTTCTACTACAGCCATTACAACAACGACAACTAATACAATACTTACATAACTATTAAAAAAAAGAGTGACCATGCCTTCAGTCAGTCATTTGAAATGAAGAAATTTGAGGTCACAGACAGACATGTAGAGAAACACAGACACACACACGCACAGACAGACATGTAGAGAAACACAGAGACACACACACGCACAGACAGACATGTAGAGAAACACAGAGACACACACACGCACAGACAGACATGTAGAGAAACACAAAGACACACACACGCACAGACGGACATGTAGAGAAACACAAAGACACACACACGCACAGACACGTAGACAGACATACAGATCGACACGTAGACATACACACAGACAGAAACACAGACACACAGACAGACACGTATATAGACACACAGGCACACAGACAGATACGTACGTAGACACAAAGACAGACACGTAGGCAGACACACGGGCACACACAAACACGTAGACAGACCCACAGGCAGACATGAAGGTAGACACATAGACACACAGACAGACACGTAGAGAGACACACAGCCAGACACGAAGACAGACACACAGCCAGACTCATAGGCAGACACTACTAATACTTTGCTGTCAATCGAAATCGAGTATGGCGATCATCCGGCTATGATGCAATTATATGAGTTATGAAGGATGTCACCTTCGCTGGTGAACTCTGAGGTAATTAAAGAGGTCGATACGGGACCAGCAGTGCCGTCCACAGATGTTGCACGTGTGGAGGGCTACATCTAGTGTGGGAGGATGGGCGGCAGCGTCTTTCTGGCGTTGGCGCTTGTCTGCCTCGGTATGCAGTCGGGCTAAGTCGAAAGTATTGACACCTTCTTGTGTGGTACTCCTCCAAGCGTTACGGTGTGGAATAATCATCTCCCGGGTGAGGGGGGCGATTTGGTACTTTTTCAGGTTTGTCTTAATATTATCATTATACCTTTTCTGTTGCCCGCCGGCGTTACCTTTACTATTCATTAGGTAACTGTAAAGTAGCTGCTTTGGCAGTCTACTTTCGTCCATGCGGGTAACATGGCCAGTCCAACCCAGTTGTTCATGGATAATGGTAGCCTCGATGCACCTACAGCTGGTGTCAGTGCGAATACTGGTATTTGTTCTCTTGTCTTCCAAGTGAATTCGGAGGATGGAATGTAGACTACGTTGGTGAAAGTTTTCAAGTGCCTTGAGGTGCCTCCTGTATGTGACCCATGTCCCGCTGCCATATAGCAGGGTGGGGAGGACCACTGCTTGATATACGTGCAAATTTGTAGATTATTTCAGCTCCCAACAGCTGAAGACACGGTTTCGGAGTCTGCAAAAGTGTTGTGATGTCCATTTGATCCAATGTTGAATCTCTTCATCGATGTCCGCAATAGTGGACAGGTAGGAACCGAGATACCGAAAGTGGGTAACATTAGAGAGGGTAGTACCGTTAAGCTGGATGGATGGTGGAAGTGTGGCTGAAACAGGGGCAGGCTGAAAGAGAATTTGAATCTTACGTATATTCACCTGCGTAGGAAGTGTGCATACTTATCTGCATAGGTGTTCAGGATCTCCTGAACGCGACGTTCAGTGTGAGCGATAAGGGTGAGGTCGTCTTCATACTGAAGTTCGGTGCTGTAGGAAGGGTCATCTCGGGGCGCTGTTCGAAGGTCCTCCATTGCCTTGTCGTCATCTGGTGACAGGTCCGAACGAAGGGATTGGACGGCGTGTAGAGTGACCACAGTCCTGACGGAAAGAGCGAGATCGGCGTCGAGCACATGGTCTTCTGGAGTAGGGCGGCTGACAGGAGAGCGGGATAAGGCATCAGGGATGCAGAGCTCCTTACCAGCGCGCCACACTGCTGTGAAGATGTACGCCGAGAGCTTCTCTTTCAGACGCTGGAGGCGAGGGTTCTCAATGGCGTCCAGCGTGTAGTGGTTGAGGATCGGGACAAGTGGGCGATGGTCGGTCACAAGGTGAAAATGTTGCAGGCCTATAAGGTAAAACCTGCACTTGGACATCGCCCAAACCACAGCCAACAGCTCCAACTCAATAGTGGCGTAGCGCGTCTCAGTGTCAGAGAGGAAACGCGAGCCACACTGGACGAGCCGGAACTGCCCTTCACCATGATCCTGCAGTAGGGCGTATCCCACGCCGTACAAGCGTGAGGCATCTGTCTGCAGAACCGTCGGCAAGGCTGGGTCAAACGTGGCGAGGACAGGTGGAGTAGACAGGGCCTGTTTCACTTGCTGGAAGGCCTTGTCGTGGTCGGGGGTCCACAGGAATGCCCTCTTGGGGCTCATCAGGGGGCGAAGTGGTTGGGCAGCTGCGGAGATGTCCGGCGAAAACTCTGCTAACTGGTTGACGAGACCGATGAAGGACCTCAAGTCGGTGAGGTTAGCAGGGGTGGGAAAATCCGTGATGGCGCGGACCTTTTCCGGGTCAGCTGCGATACCATTCCCTGAGAGGGTGTACCCACAAAAGTCCACTGAAGAGCTGGCCAGAACAAACTTGTCGGCATTTAGGGTGATGCCGTGCTTCTGGCACCTGTTGAGTACCTCGTAGATACAGCAGAGGTGATCCATGTAATCCTCATCGTACACGAGTATGTCGTCGACCACTTTCACGCAGTTTGCCAAACCTTGTAGAGCCATGTCACCTCGAAGACAGAAAGCGTCTCCTGTAGCGGCGAATCCCATGGGGCCACGGCAATAACTGTAACGTCCATGCGGGGTAATGAAAGTTGTGAGTGGTTGGTCTTTTTCGGCAAGCTCTATCTGCCAGTATCCACACAGGGCGTCCATCGTCGTGAAGAAGCGCGCCTTCGGGTTCACACTGCATATAGCTGCAAAGGGCGTGGGAGAAGGGTGCGCAGGACGAGACACCTGGCTGTTAAGCTTGGAGAGGTCAGTGGTGATCCGAACACCACCTTTAGGTTTTGCGACGACAACCATAGGGTGACACCATGGAGACGGGTCATCACCGGCTGGTGCAATAATTTCTTGTGCGACCATGGAGTCCAGCTCGTTTTTGACCGCCTCGCGGAAGGCCAGGGGAACCAGTCGAGGGGTGTAAATAGCGAAGGGCTTTGCGTCGTCCCTCAAGTGGATCCTCATGGGGGAACCTACCATCTTCTTGAGAGGCTTGGATTCTAGAGCGAACTTGGTAACCAGAACGTCGCTGAATTCCTTCAGGAAGTGCTTCCGAGCATCCGAAGGAGAGGTGTCACTGGCAAGAGGTAGGGGTAGGGCGGCAGCAGGGTCGTTGCTGCTCCCTTCTTGTACCCTGTTGGCGTGTTTTACCTCGAGAATAGGTTTGGGGAAGCCCTGGGAGATGATGGCCAACTCTTGACAATGTCTGTAGGACAGCAAAGGAGTCGGTACACCGTTATGCACAACAATCCAGGCTTGACACGACCTGTTGCCAAAGGTGACTTGTGCTTGGAGTGAACCTAGGGCCGGGGTCATCTGTGAACCATCTGCCGAAAAGCGGAGATCCTTGGGGGGCGGTCCTAGATCACTTGGAGAGAGCCCCAAGCATTGCAAATGCTGGGGACCGATGACTGTAGCATCAGCGCCGGTGTCGGGCAACATCTGAAGACGGGATGACACACTGCCATAGGTCACAATGACACTGATGTACTGAGGGACTTTGGTCCTGGGACGCGGGGGGGAGCACACATTCCTAATATGGCTCGAGCGTTGTCCAGGGTCGTCATGCTTCTGATTGGAAGACTGTGGGCGGCCCTTACTGGTGGAAGGGCGCTGAAGCTTCCGCCGACGCTGTCCCTTGGGTTTGTTGGTAGGGCAACACTTGTCATAGTGGCCCAGACGACCGCACACATTGCACTGGACGTACTTAGCTGTGCACCGTACTGTGAGTGACCAGTGGCCCTTACGGTCACAACTGTTGCATGTAGACTCAGCAGCTGGACACACCTGTGTTCCGTGCTGCTTACCACAGTTGTTACAAAATGAACCGGGCGTGGACGTGGTGGGCGAAGGCGTAGGAGCAGACTTCTTGTCCTTCTTGTACCGGGACGCAGCGCGTACAACTGTAGGGGGAGCTCGGATGGCAGCGGTGGCACACCTAGAGCCTCATAGGAGCGACATATCGTCAAAACATCCTTAAGAGAAGAGGAAGAGTCGAGGGAGGTGAGGCGTTGGACAAGCTCCTGGTCCTTA